TCCATTCAATTATTCGCGCGGACACATGGTGGATCCCCTATTTTTAGTTTGCCCTTTTAAACGGTTTGTTTTGTTGTATTGAGTTTCTTAATCAAGATAGATGCGCGAGAGCCAATCCGATCGCTCGGTCTAATCAAATATCCTTTCATGATGCTCAAAAGTTACTGTTTCTTCCTATGTCGGTGAAGATTGTGCTGGGAGAGTCCGTTAACCTCACCTCTAGACCTCCTGACCTTTTTCTCACAAGTTATTTTTTCTTTGCTTGGATGAATCCGCGTTTTTGCTCCCGTTGTGGATTGTTGTTGTTTTTTCCGCCTACAGGACGAAAAGACAGCCAAACTACAGGCCGCCGAAATGCGTATTCAGGTGCGTTCTCCATAAGCATTCGATAACGCCTACTTAAATCGAATTAGTAGGCATGACAGTTATAAAAACGAACGTAAATGTTAGCTCGGCGCTATTTTTTTATTCATTTTTATTTCATCCTCCATGCCAGGACGCCTTCTACATTTTTTAAATTATAAGTTTCGCTTGCCTATCGGAACTGTCTGACCCTTGAGGCCATTTTGTAGTTATCTGGTCAAATTGCAGTAGAAACTTCGGCAATACTGTCTTGTGGAGCCGTCTAAATATCTATCCCCCCCGTCCAACTGTCTTACGGAATTGGTGGTTAAGCATTTAATTCTTGTTTACCGAGCGTAAATGAATATTTGATTGTGCTGAAAGTGATCAAAGTATCTTAAATCAAAGCCACTTATAGTTTTTTAATGAGCTGAATTTAATCAACTCCATCAACATAAACTCCTGTTGTTCAGCCAACTGATGGGAATTCGACCGTATATTGACGGAATTTAACGAAAGGAGAGAAATTCGGGCTACTCAAAATGTAAAAGCAGTTTATTATAAGTCAAAAATAAATACGACCCCGAAGTTTCTTCCGCAGCCAGTAAAACACACTGATTGTAACTCTTGTAACCGCCTGCTTCCGTGCCTCTTCACATCTTTCCAGGAGCTGGAAACCCAGTTGAAGACACTTAAGACGGAAAAGGATAACTTGCAGGCGGAACACACAGATCTTTTGCTTCTTCTGAGTGATCAGGACTCCCAACTTGCAGAACTCACGCAGAAGCTGGAGCAAAAGTCCCTTTCTGTGGCCGCACCGGCGGTGAGCGGAGTTTAAATTCGATGCCAGTTTTTATTATATTTGCTACAGTGGGCATTTAACGACTGCTAACTTTGCTTTTTCCGAGACACTCCAATTGCGCCATCTTTAGATTTTATACTTAAAGAAAAGGTATCTTCCGGTTTTAAAAAGGATTCTAAATTGCCGAATAATTTTCTAATCTAGTGACTGCTGCACCCGAATTCAAGGTTTACAAACTGCGCGTTGTGTACATCCTGTTTAAGGAAAAGTACTTCATGTCAAAATTTTGAGGAAGAAGTCACATAGTTAGTTGCAATACGTGTAGATATTGATGTATACATTATAGACAACATTAATAAATTGACGGATACGATTTATTCTGAGTGAAGGCCCCACAATCGTAAAAATCGCATAATTAGAAATTGTTTCTTAAACCAGAGTATACGCTTTCCTCAAGTATAAAATTTAAAGGCGGCGTAATTTGCTATCAAACAAGTACAAGAAATAAAATTTTTTCGTGCAGTTTTCCATTTAATATTTTTGGATTTATAAAGGTCTCGAAGTAAATGATAAAATGCATACTACTTAAGTATCCAGTTTTTACAGTTCATACTATTTCGTTCGCGGTCAGAACGGAGCTCATTAAGTAGCTTGCATCCTATTGCGACTGAAAGGGCTTGAGAATAGGCTACACGATAATCAGTATCACAACCTTACTCAATGGCGATTAGCGAGTGCGTATCAATCTTTCACAAATGTCGGCATGTTACACGAACTCTGAGCTGACAAGACAGCGGACTCGTGGCTCAATGGTTAGGGTGTTTGCCTCTGGCCAGGGAGGCGCGAGTTCAAAACTCGACCGTGGCGGCAATTTCCGCTGCTACACTG